AGAAGCGTTAAGAAGCCATTGAAGGTTCTCGTGTCTGACATGGTCAGACTTGTGCTTTTGGAAGACTATTTTGACGGTTCTGATGCATTTTGGGGGGTTCAAGGACCCCCCCCAAATGACTGAAGTACAGGACAGGGTCATTTAGAAAGAATTCATGGACTCAAGCAATCTTTAAGTCAAGTTGCCAAAGGTTTATTGTTACGCTATTCAGCAGGCAAAAGTTCTTAAGGAACCTGCGACCTTAGAGGGGGACAGTTAAAGTTTATATCAGAAAAACTATAGTAAAACATGTGCCAAGTGTGCTAACTAAGTGACTCAGGACAGGATTAGGGGGTGGTTAAGCAGTGGTCAGTTCTTAAAGGAACATGCACTTTTCGTATCTACTGCACAGGTGTTTTACCCAGAGTCCACCAGAAAAGGCCCAAGAGGGGACCACAGGGAGGTCTGGATTTTAGTGACATAGCCCTGTCACTAAGTTAACTAGCAGTCAGGGCCAACTGAGGATCGTCCAGTTTGCCACTAATCAATGTCTTGTTTGACAAGATAGATGTAGGGAGTGTACATATGTCTTAAGTATAGGCTGCAAATAATGAGGCAGGGAGTTGGTATAGATAGTCCAGTGGGTACCAAGCCAATACAAAGCCAGTTCAAACAAATAATTCCTACAGGTATGGGTTGTTACTGTACTGGGGAGAGAAATGAGTGTTTTGCTGGGGCCTAGTCATGAGTAATTGCTAGGCATATGTCCTTGAGCTGGGAGAAACTGCCAGAGATAATGTTTTTGAGGCTGAAGGGAATTATGGTCTTGGAATTACGGTCTGAGCAGAGGCACCCAAGCACCCCATCAGTTCCGTGGGGGTTAGGTTTGAGAGAGGACAGACTGGAAGCAGAAATTCCTATAAGAAAGCTAATACAATAGTCTAAGTGAGAGATAATAAATGCTTGAACTAGAGTGATGGCTATGTGAGCATAGAAAACTTATTTTGGATGTGCAACCTAGAAGACTTGGCAATGGACTTGACATGGATGTTGAAAAGGGGGAAGAAACAGAAATAGGGAAGTTAGGAAGAAGAACAGATTTAGTGGGGAAAATAATGAGTTTGGGATGGTTATAGGATGCCTAGATGGGACATGCTGAGAAGATAGCCAGTAATGCAAGACTGGAGACCAGGATGGAAATAAGGGTTGGCTATATAGATTTAGGAGTATTTTGCAGAAAAGTGGTCATTAAAATAATAGGACTTTTTAAAAGTGCAGGAACTGAGAGAGAGAAAAATAGAGACAAAGAGACAATCAGTGTAATCATTCAACCTCTGCTTAAATACTTATATTGTCAGAAGGTTCATTACCACACAAGGCAGATGATGCTATCATTCAGACAATTCTAATTGTTTTAGAATTATTCCTTATTTTTTGCCAAAATCTGAACCCTTGTAACTTTATAATCCCTTTTATGTCTGAAAATACTTTAGATATTTGATGGCAGACATCATTTCTAAATTTTCTTTTTCTCTTACCACCCTGTGGCAACTTTTTAACTGCTTGATGGACTTTGGAGGTAAAGATGTTGGAATGCATATATTGTCATAGAATCCCTGAGATGGAAGAGACCTCAGAACATCCTCCACAGTGTCCCTGACAAGTAGTCATTCATTCTCTGCTTGAAGGTTCCCTAATCACAAAGAACTCACTAGTTCTTGAGGCAGCGTATTTCACTTTTAGATAACTAATTGTTAGGAAATTCTTCCTTAGATGGAACAAAAAAACCTCTCTCTCTGAAAATTCCTTCCATTACCATGACTCTCATTTGCTTCTAGACAGGCTGGATCTTGGGATAGAAGTAGGCAGGGAACAGCAAAGAGCCTGGCAGCAGCTCCTTTCCCTGCTCCCAGGGCTGGTCACTCTAAGGAGGAGGAATTCCACATGACTCAAGGACTCAGGAGGCCCCTGGACCTGGGAGGAGTAGATAGATCAGATAATTACTTTTTTTGCTCTCTAATGAGGAGTCTGAGGAATCTGTCTTTGTGGCCTTCCAATCAACTGAATCAACAAAATATGAAAAGCCCGAGGTTGGGTCCTGCTCCCCAGTTTCCCCAGTCCTCCTTCTCTGTCTCATCTGCTATTTGGACTGGTTTCTAGTCTTCAATCAACTCCCTACTATGAATTTCCCCTTATCCGTGGGAGAGGTGAAAGACAGTAGAGACAGTGCACTGAGTGATGGTGTCTTGCTAGGTAAGGAGTGATTGATGGGAATGCACTAAAGCATTTACAGAGCCTTTTTTACTTCCTTCTCTCTTAAGGTCAATCCCATCTTGGCTGTTAAGATCATTGTTGAGAAGGCTCTTATTCCATAATCTACAAGTTCCCTCCAGGTCTGGTTGGGACAGAAGGAAGGAAGAAAAGGAGCATTTACTAAAATCCTACTATGTGCCGAACACTGTGCTAAGCACTTACAAATATTATCTTATTCGATCTTCACAACAACTGTTGAAGGGAGGTGCTATAATTATTCCTTTGTTGCAGTTGAGGAAACTGAAGCACACAGAGGTTAGGTGACTCTTGGCCAGAGATACACGGCGTCTGAGGTCAGATTTGAACTCAGGTTTTCCTGTCTCCAGATCCAGCATGCTATACACAATAACTTTAATAGTTAAAGATCAAGATAGGTAATGTCCCAAATACAACCCTACTCTGGAATAATAGAAGAAGAAGGCTGAGGATCATATTCACCAAAAAAAAATCCTTGTCTCACCTGTTCATCTCATCTCAGGCTTGCTCTTCACCAACATTTAATCAAAGAATAACTTCACCTCAGTCACAGGTAGGCTTCCTGAGTATAATGGGTCTTTTCCTCACCACTTCTGGTCTCTGGAGAGAGCTCTTAGAATCAACAAATAAATAAATAGATGGATTAACTAAAAGGAATTACTAAATAACTACTCCAGTCACACGTTCCTCAAAAGGCCTCATGCCACACTGCTACAAAGGAAGTCAGACCTATTAGTAAAGGGCCCAAAACCCATACAAACATTTTTTTTGCAAAAAGAAATTTAAATGTAAAAATGAACTGAATGTAGAAATTTTAGATTTCTAAAATGAGGGGGGAGGATTGATTTTGATTACTTTTCTGTGATAACCTACCTGCTAGTTTTTAGTAAACTGGGAACTTAAGTCTAACAGTTGTCCTGTTGGTGTATAGATCTCTTCCTTCCATATACTGTCACTACAGCTGCTGTATTTAGACTCCAACTCAGAACAAATATTCATACTGACAGGTAACCTTTCAGGTTCACAGTAGGGTCTCATTTTTCAGATAAATATATTGGTGATAGATCAGTTCAGAAAGATTATAAACTGTAATAAATTCTGATTCTAAAAAAGGAAAAGATTTAAAAAAGAAAAAAAGTACATTATGATGGCATGGTCAGCCTCTCTAAAGTCCTACTCTTCCTCCAAAGCCTCATTGGTCAAAGAGGTGACCCTTGGTTCTAAATGTTTATACCAAATGGTGCAGGTTCTTACAAGCCAAGCTGAAATGGACTTACGTGTAGACCTGGAGGAGGACATACTAGATGATTGCTCTCTAAGGGCCAGCCTAGTTAAAATCAGAGTGGGTGGCTCTAGGTGATTGAAGGATGGATATTTTCTCATCATAACAGTTCTGAAAAGCCATCTACTAAGTCATAGAAGTGCTACAAATAGCACAGAAGAGACAACCCATGCCAACAAATTGCCAAGATCATTTCCCAAATTGAAGTGAAGAACTTTCCCTTTACAAACTACATAGACTTGAAGTTTGTCACAAGTAGGATGGAGGAAACTGAGATTGAGAAAGGCAGTATGGGGAGGCCATATGGCAGCTCGAATGGAGGACAATCTTTGATGTCAGGAAAACCTGTCAAGTATTTCCTCTGACATAGGCTGGCTAAGTGAACAAGACACTTAACCTCTCAGTGCTCCAGGCAATTCTCTGTGACCATAAGTTGCAGAATAGCTTGCATTTAAGTAATGTCTCAAGGCTTGCAAAGTATTTTACACATATTATTTCATTTGATTCTCATAACAATTCTGAAAGGTAGGATGTATTATTATTCTCATTTTACATAATAGGAGACTAAGGCTGAGAAAGGTTAAATGACTTGCCTAAGGTCATACAGCTAGTCAGTATCTGAGGCAGGATCGGAATTCAGGACTTCCTAAATCCAAGTCCAGAACCCTGTCCATTTGTCCACCTAACTTTCCAATAGAGGTCAATATGCATTAAGAGAGGAGGTTTCTTTCCTGGGGAGTAACTAACACCTATGAAATTACAGGTCAGGATGAAAACAAAGGTAGTGGTGCACAATGGGGAAAAAAAAAAAGAACTGGACTTAAAATCAGTGGCCAAGGTTCAAGTTTTGGCTCAGACAGAAACTAGTTCTATGATGGGAACATGACTTTTATTTTGAAGTCTCAGTTTCTTCATCTGTCAAAAGAGAAAGTTAATAATTACATGTCAGTGCTATGAAGAAAGCACATTATAAATCATAAAGCATTATGGAAACTTTGGTCTAGACCTTTGAGACCATAGGTATAAGGAACCCCCAGTGAAGAAACTCCCACTGCTAATACAGAGCAGCAATTATTCTGAAACTTATAGTTTGGAAAAGTTGCCCAGGAAACAGAGAGATTAAGAGACTTGACCAAGGTCATATTGTCAGTATCTATCAAAGGTATGATTTGAACCCAAGTCATCCCGACTCTGTGGCTAGCTTTCTGTTCATGACAATACACTGCTTCTACATGGGAAAAATACAGACATTGTTATTATTAGAATTAATATTATCCTGGGAATTTTGCATTTGTTCAAAGATCAGATCACACCAAGTCCACATAGTGATACAAGGTTCCATTTCCACAGTGACCACTCCAGAGACCAGAATGGTAGATGGAAGTCCCACCATCATCTCTTGGTTTCTCTGTTTTAGTCAAACTCCCCTCCAATCAGTCTTTTTCAGGAAATGCAAAAGGGAAATACAAGTGGCATCTCTGAATTCCTCCTCCTGGGACTCTCTGAGCAGCCAGATCATCAGCTGATTCTCTTTGGCCTATTCCTGGCCATGTACCTAGTCACCACACTGGGGAACCTGCTCATCATTCTGGCTATTGCCTCTAACTCCCACCTTCACACCCCAATGTATTTCTTCCTGGCCAACCTCTCCTTCATTGATACCTGTTTTACTTCTACCACAGTCCCGAAGATGCTGATGAATATCTGGGCCCAGCATCAGACCATCTCCTATGCTGGGTGCCTCACTCAGATGTATTTCTTCATGACCTTTGCTCTTCTGGTTGACTTTCTCCTTGCTGCCATGGCTTATGACCGCTATGTGGCCATTTGCCTCCCTCTCCACTACACCACAGTCATGAGCCCTGCACGCTGTGTTCTGCTGGTGACTATATTCTGGCTCTGCTCCCACCTCATTGCCCTCTCCCTCACTCTCCTCATGGCTCAGTTCTCCTTTTGTGGATCCCATGTGATCCCCCACTTCTTCTGTGACCTCCTACCCCTTCTCAAGCTCTCCTGTTCAGACACTAGCATCTCTCAGGTGGTGATGTTCATTGATGCCAGCTTGGCTGGTTTCATCCCATTCACTTGCATTTTGTTCTCCTATATCCACATTATCTCCATGATCTTCAGGGTCCCTTCTGCTGATGGGAAGCACAAAGTCTTCTCCACCTGTGGCTCCCATCTCTCAGTGGTCATTCTCTTCTATGGAACTCTCATTCTGGTGTATTTACAGCCTTCATCTTCCTACTTGGCAGACACAGGAATCATCATATCAGTGATGCACACAGTGGTGACCCCAATGCTGAACCCCTTCATCTACAGCCTGAGGAATAAGGACATAAAAAGAGCCCAAAGGAAGCTGCTCAGCAAGGGAATAGTTCCCTCTTGGTGAAATATCATAGCCCTTAGCAGAAACCCAGGGACTATTACAAGACCATTCACTCCCTGTACCTTCATTTCCCGATCATCCAGGATGACAAATGCATCTGTTGGTCTGACCCTTCTTTGGCCCATTCTTGTGAGATAGCTTTCAGATGCCCACTTCTTGTACCTTTCCTGATGACCAAAGCATCAGATGACCCAATCACAAGGCAACAACAACCAGAACCAAACCTCAGAGTGACGGCATTTCAGGAAAGACTCTTTTCTTCTCTAAAATGAATTACTTTCTTTTCCCTACCAATGATAGTCAAATATGAGGGTAAGTTGGGATTCCATGCATGCTAAAAGGACAAAATTTGGCCACATTTCTAGTACTGAGATGATACAGTGATTGACAATGAACTGAACCCTTAAGGGAAGTAAGACAGAAAAGAGGCTTTCATGGATTCAGTACATAGCAGAATGGTCTGTAAGAAGCAGGAATCCATTGAAAAGAGACAAATGAATATTGTGACACATAGATGATAAATAGCAGATAATGTACAAAGCCACCATGAAACAGGCTTAGGAAATCCTCAAAGTCTGTTCCCTTCCATAGAAAGTCTTCTCTCTCCTTATAAAAACTGTCTTGCTTCCATCGAGGACTGGGCATGCCCAAACTGAAAGCACCCTGAGTCTTAAGAACATGATCCCTGGCCTGAGTTTATGTACATAGCTGGCCTAGTGAGAAGGACTGCCTGTCTAGAGCAGGGGGTATTAACGTCCTTTGTGTCATGCACCTTTTCAGCAGTCTGCTGAAACTTATGGGCCCTGTCTTAGAATAATGTCTTTAAACACATTAAAATCCAAAGGTTAAAGGAAATCAAGGAAATTCATTACAGTTATCAAAGTGTTTCTTAATAAAAACCAGTCCACAGAGTTCCTAGGTAGATAAAGCAAGCATGTGCTTTAAAGATGGACCTTCAAAGGAACAGGAGGCAGCTTAGCCTGGAGAAGAAAGATGACTTGTGGAATATATGATATCTATCTCCAAATACCTGAAGGACTATCGCATGAAAGTTGCAGAGAACTAGAAGCAATGGGTGGAATTTTCAGAGAGGCACAATTTAGCCCAATGTAAGGTAAAACTTGCTTCAGGAAGGGGCTTGACTAGATCGCTTATCCACAGCAAATTTCCAGTGATCTGTAAAACTTCGACTGACAAAGGAACTTGTTTCTTATGTTCTAAAAATTTGAAAGGTGGAATTCTTTCTCCCTCACTATTAACAAGAAGCTCAATGGTATAGGAGAAAGAGATTTGGCTTTGGAGTCCTGGGTTTAAATGCCACCTCTAATTCTGTGTATCTGTATGACCCTAAGAAAGGTTCAATATCCCTGTGCCTCAGTTCGCTCAGCTAAAAAAATAGAAGGGTTGGACTAGATGGCCTCCAAAGGTCCCTTCCAGCTCCAGATCTATGACTTCATGATTCTGCTCCTCTCATTCCCAGCTTCTTCCTGCTTCTTTGATCTTATTTTCCACGTCCTAAACCACAGAGAGCCAGGAAGAACCTGCACTGATTCGCCAGTGAGTTCTGGTCCAACATGTTGTAAAAAGAATTAATGCTTCAAAGAGGGGTTGGACAAGATACTCTGAAGTGCCTCCATCTCTAAGATTATAGCATTCTGTGACTGCCTCATTGACGCTGGTTCATTATGCTGCTTTCCTCTAGTTACATTAATAGGGTTTTGTGAATGGAATCCATATTGACTGTGTTTTGAATATGGTCAGAAATCAATTTAATTTGATTTCTAGGGTGAGCTTTTATAAGCAGAGCCCTTGACTCCTTATTTCCCTGTATGCTTCACTGGTGCTATAATTCAAGGTCCTTCCAGGCCAAGAGTCCCCCTTGGCCACTGCTAGGGCATAATACAAGGAATCAGAGCCATTTCCTAAGTCTGTGCTTTGGGGAGGTTCCTTAAAATTAATGCTTCCAGGCAGTAACTCAGAAAGGCATTGTGGAAGGGGAATGTTTGGGAGTGGAGAAATAGAGAAGATGTGGTTCTAGCAAGACAATCTATAAGCCCTCAGCTATTACTAAGGCAAAGAGATGAAACTGAACAAATAATGACAGCCTCCCTACTGTAGCCCAGAGCTGGCACCTCCCTCATGATAGCATCCAGAGGTGGCCTTGTACTGGAGGAACATTTTACCGGTGAGATCACAACTACCTCCAGTAAACATTAAATGCCTACTATGTATAAGGCTCTGTGCTCCATGCTAAAGATACCAAGATGTTGGTGCAGTGAATAGAGCATTAGACCTGAAATCAGGAAGAACTGAATTCAAATTCAGCCTCAGGCACTTAATAGCTGTGTGACCTGCAGCAAGTCATTTAATCACTGCCTGCCTCAGTTTCCTCACGTGTAAAATTAAGACAATAATAGCAGCTCAGGGGTATTGTGAAAATTAAATGAGATGTTTGTAAAGCCCCTCATAAAACTTAAAGCACTGTATAAATACTAGCCCTCATTGTTATTAAATATTAATGTCTTATATTTATAAAGCATTTTATAGTTTCAAAAACACTTCCTTTGCAGAAATACTTTGCGGTAAAATGGCAGGTTTCATTATTTCCGTTTTAGAAAAGGAGTAAATTGGTTAGTCAACAGGCATTTGTCTAGTGCTAATATGTAACAGACACCATGAAAGTTGAGTTGTCTTACTTAGTGAATGGTGGACTAAAATTCAGGTCTTCTGACTCTAAGAAAAGTCCTCTTTCCAATACAACATGTGGCGTTAAGACACAGCCCTGACCTCAGGGAGCTTATGGTCTAACAGGGTAAATATGTCTACAAATAGAAATAATATAAGACAGAATATAATCTGTGAAAAAGGAAGATTGAGATAAAAGCCAAGAGAAATTTGAGTGAGATACTCCTTTTAACAGAAGGCAGGGCAAGGCAGAGATTGAGGCAGGTTTAATGGAAGAAGTGACCTTGAAAAAAGCAATGGATTTAAATGGGAAGAAACTGGAGGAAGCAGCACACATTAGACAAATGATCTGTCTCCCAGTTCTAAAATAATATGATCTTATGACCCCAAACGATCAAAAACGCAGAGAAAGGAAAGGGCAGGACAAGAACAGCCCCATTTAATTCTAATGTAGAGCATATATAGGGAGTAGTATGAGATAAGTTAATAATAATAGTTATTATTTTATAAAATGCTTTAAGATTTGCTAAGCATTTTACATAATGTTATTTTATCTGATCCTCACACAGACTAGTAGGTGCTACCATTGTCCTCATTTTACAGAGGAGGAAACTGAGACTGAGAGAGTCTCTATGACTCTACCAAGGTCACACACAGCTGTTAAGTGTCTGATGCAGAATTTGAACTCAGGTCTTCCTGATTCCAAATCTACTTACCAGGGGTGGGGTACTTTGAATGAGAACAAGTTTTACAGAACAAATCCTTTCACTAAGTGGATTTTTTCTGTGAAGTTAGGATTCAGTCAAAGGGCCACACTTGAGGATCTAAAAGGCCTCTTGCAGCCTCCAGGGTGCAGGTTCCTCACCCCTGCTAGGCCACTCAGTAAACTTAAAAAGGTATGTCACCTCTTCCATTAAATCTGCCTCAATCACTGCCTTGTCCTGCTTCTGTTAAAAGGGATCTCTCATTCAAATTACTTATAGCTTTTATCTGGAGCTCAAGAAAACTTTAAATACCTCGACCAAAAGTATTTAAATCTTTCATTAGGCAACAGGGGAACAACAGAATGTCTTTGAGTAGAAAAATAGCATGATTAGGACAGTATGTTAAGAATATAATTTGGGCAACTGTGTGAAGAATACATTAGAGGAAAAAAAGATGAGTCAGGAAGATAAGGCACAGAATCAATCCCTTCTGTCTACCTCTCAATAGTCACAGGAGATATGTTGAAGTGAAAACAAACTTTTGGAAAAAAAATAAGTCAAAATTATACAAAACAACGATGGCAAATATTTTAATTTAGGGCTACAATATAATACTTCTCATTTGGCCCTATTTTCTCCTGTCCATATCAAGCTCTTTATCTCTACACCAGATCCCATTTTTTCTCATATCTCCACATTTCTGACAAAGGGTTAACAGCCAATCGATCAATAAAAAAGCACTGGGGATACAAAAAGAAGCAAAAGATAGTCCCTACCCTCAAGGGGATTATAGTTTAATGGAGACGACAACAAGCAAACAGCAAGCTAGCAAGCTATATACAGGATAAACAGGGAATACTTAAAAGAAGAAAGCACTGGAATTAAGAGGGGTTGGGGAAGTCTTCCTGTAGAAAGTGGAATTTTAGTTGGGACTTAAAGGAAGGTAGAGAGGTCAGTCAGAGCAGAGGAGAGAGAGTATTCTAGGCATGGGAGAGAGCCAGAGAAAATGCTCAGAGCCAGAGATACAGTATATTGTTCATGGAACATCCAGGAAGCCAGCATCACTGGATCAAGGAGTATGTCTTGGGGAAAAAGGCGTAAAAACACTGGAAAGCTAGGAGGACACTAGGTTATGAAGAGCTTTGAATGCCAAGCAGAAGATACTGTATTTCCTTTTGGAGGCAATAGGATGCCACTGGGGTGACATTATTAGACCCGTATTTTAAGAAAATCACTTTAGTGACTGAATGGAGAATGGACTGGAGTGGGGAGAGGCTTGAGGCAGGCATACCCATCAATAGATTATTGCAATGATCAAGGTGTGGGGTGATAAGGGCATGTACTAGATTGGTGGCAATATCAGGGGAAAGAAGGGGGCATATTTGAGAGATGTTGCAAAGATGAAATTGACAGGCCTTGGCAACAACTAGGATGTAAGGGGTGAGAGATAGTGAAGAATCCAGGATGATTTTTATGTTGTGAGCCTAAGGGACTGGGAGAATGATGTCTTCTAAAATAATAGGAACAGTAGAAGGAGGGGAGCACAGTTTAGGAGGAAAGATAACAAATTCTGTTTTGGACATATTTCTTTCAAACGCTCACATAAGGCTAGAG